TAGGTCATTTCAAACATGAAAGTGATTCGAGCCCTGAGGGTCAGGGTCAGGGTCAGGGCTCGAATCGTGTTTGTTCTCTTTGTGTATATTCTCAGAAAGAGTCCTATGGTTAAATGCAGCATCATATACATAGGAAGGAAATGCAAAAAAGATATGATTTTTTTTTTCCTATTCATTTTACTGAGATGTAATTTGGTTTCAAATTTCAATGCAGAGCTAATGTTTACATTTCTCTACCATCTATTTTCGTTAAACAGTAGCAGAGTCAAAAAATTTATTAAGAAAATTTGAAAAAAGTATATGAATTTCACGCGTTGTTTGTACTTGTGAGGTAAATTAACCAAGATGTTGCCATGGGTGGAGCTAGGGACGCAATGATTTTTGAGCCATTTCTTCATTAGAAATAACCTCTCTACGACATTTCACTCGTTTTAGATTCTCACTTACGAGATTACATTGAATTCTTAGTGTTTTACTTGTCAATATACTGAATGTGTTGATGAAAATTTTGATTCAAATCACTACAATGAAGGATTATATTGCATATCGGTCGGTTCGGTTTTAAAGTTTATCAATTTAGCTTATTGCAGAATAATCAAGTGTTTAAAACAATCAAAAATAAAAATAGAAGTGGGAAATCAAACCCTTAGTCAAGGACTTCATATACAAAATTGTATAAATATAATTATCTAATTTATTATCGCATTATTGATTAACCCACTAAGAGAAAATCATAAATTGTTAAGAATTAATAGCCCGATAATCAAAAAAATCAAAATCGTTATTAAAACCGCCAAACTAATAACTTTTTTTGTTCGGGTTATTGGTTTCGTTTTGGCTTTGAACTGGTGACGGAATTAAAAATTTCCTAACAGGTTCAATAAAAAATATGTATATATATTAAGTTATTGGGCCTAACAATATACAGATATTAAGTTAATGGGCCTAAAATCATTTTTTGCTACTTTCTTATATGGGCTAAGCCCAACATCCACTTTCAAACTATATTGATATGCTATAATTCGATAACAATATGCTATAAGTAGTTTATTTTTAAAAACTATGTTTTTAACTTATATATATTATCTTAAATGTGTATAGAGTGTTATTTTTATTTTAAAAAAATATTATATTCAAAAAATAGACGTTTTAACATCTGATGTCCAGACAAATTTTTTGTTAATTCGAAATAACAAACCTTTTTTTTTGTATTTCAATTTCTTTTTTTAAGTTAAAAGTTTTCACATTAATTTATGAATTATGATCAATTTTACGAAGGCCGTCCGATAGAGAAACTTATCAATTCCTTTTGTGTATTTCTGTTGCATAGTGACTAAAATCAATAATTATATTGTAATGCTTTGATTTAAAACGTGGATCTATCGAAAATAATTTTTCTATCTTTTTAATAGGAAAGATCATATAAAATAGTAAATTATTAATTTAAATTAAATGTTATAATTACAATTTGATTTAATTGTAACCTCCAGCAAACTATTGTCATTCGCTTCTCTCTTTCTAAAATTATCACACTATAGTTTCTCATTAGCTTCCTCGTCTTTCTCACTTTTATACAAACACATTTGTATAAAATGTGGTTGTTTTTGTATAAAGTGAGGAAAAACTGTGTATATACATATTTTTGCATGCCTCTCTCCCAGAGAATCTCGCTCGTCTATCTCACTTTATACAAACACAAGTGCATAAATTGTGTTTGTATTTGTATAAAGCGAGAGAAAATTGTATATATACAAACACAAATACATATATATCTTCGTCTTATATACTTATAATTTATAATTATACAAATATAGATCTTCCACTATCCAGTTTTCTTTCGTCTTCCTCTCTTCCTAACTTTATACAAAAACATATTATAAATTAATTTTTTTTTATATGTATACTGAAATAATTATACAATTAATTTTTTTATATTTATACTGAAATATACATATTAATAGTTACAGCAAATATAAAATTTCATATAGTGTAACTATAAATTATACCTATATTATATAAATATGATTTTTATGTTTCGTTAACTTGAAATTTACTTTTTAATTGTCTGATTTTTTCTAGATAGTTCTAATTTTGTATCCAACCAATAAAAAAAATGTGAAAATAAAAGTAGGTAGATGGAATAAAAGATTTGTGTGAAAATGGCCTTCACTTTTGAGTTGGACACTTGGACTAAAGGTTCATATATTTGAAAAGTGATTAATTTTGATTTTATTATATAGTTTGAAATATAATAAAGCATGACGAACCAAATCACGCCTAAAAATATATATAATATTTTATAGTTTATCACATTATTGTCTATTTTAATTGCTAGTATAATTTTCTTTTGCCATTAATTAAACAATTGTTCATCAACTATTGCTATATATTCTCTTTTTGAGTTTACTTTGTATTATAAAAAAATAATTTATTTCTAATGGAAAGTCTACTTATTCAGGACGGCATTTGTTCATCCTTTTTTTTTTATTTTTTTAAATACTTATATTTAAGAAAATATGAAAAAGAAGAAAAATATAAAAAGTCAAAAGCTAACATGGCAAAACAAAGATTCTCCTTAATTATATTATCTTCTTTTTTTTTTTTTATAAAAAAATATTTTGTAAACAATAAAATAGGTGTTAGATGAACAAATTAGATTAAATTATAAGTTTAAGTTAATATAGGGGTGGACATTCGGTAATTCGATTCAGTTGTTTTTTTTCCGGTTTTTCGATTTTTGATTTTTGTACAATGTGTACCGAACACCGAATCAAAATAATTTGATTCGATTTGGTTTTTATTATTTAGGTTCGATTTTTTATTATTTTGATTCGATTTTGTTATTTCGATTCTTTTAATGGGCCTGCTTAGTTGGTCTTTTAAAAATTTACAATTTTTTTGTTTGAATTTTCCCTTTAATGGACTAAAAATAGTTACATCAAAAAGTGTCTTTTATCTTTTAATTTTTTATTTTAAATTATAATATTTATTGTTTAACATTAATAATTAATATAATATAAATATATATTATAATATAATATATTTCGGTAAACCGAAATATCGAATAACACAAAATTACATACCGAAAATCAAACTAAAATACCAAAAAATATAAAAATATATACCGAATATCGAACCAAAATTCAAAAAACCAAAAAAAATCGATTCGATACGATATTTCAATTTTCTGATGTTTATGGTCAGCCCTAAGTTAATAAATGACACATCTAAAATTATTTAAATTAAAATAAATTAAATAACACATCATGACATAATTAATTTGTTCAACTTTTATAAAGTTTTAATTTATTTAACTATTTTCTTATAATCATTTTAAATACTTTTAAAAAAAAAAGAAAGAAAGATTTGTAGCTTCATTACATTTACATTATAAAGTAATTTTTCCTTCCTTCTCTATCTGATTATCAATAACATGTTTTGTTGTTCCAAGATTATGTTATCTTCGTTTTATTTTAAGATAGTTAACTAATGATAAATATTTTTTTATGCTGATAAAATATAAAATTAACATATTTTAAATAGTTCACAAAAAATTTCAATATTTTTTTTTAATTTCCTTTTTGTGAATATAACTCAAGATGTAACGTAAATATTTGAAAATAAGTAGCCCCCACGTGCCCCACAAAGTAAGACAGTATACAAATAGCATCATTTTAACGAATATTCCATTGCTTTTGAACTAAAATGTCACTTTTTACAAGTGTTTCTCTTCTTGTTGTCCAACAAATCAAATTTATATCTCTGTTCATTTTTATCTGTTCATAATATATATCAAGTCAATACTGAATAATTAAAAATTAATAAATAAAATAACTTATATGTTCAATCAAATTTAGAATTCGTTTGAATTGACTTAAAAGTTGATCAAACCTATTTTTAAGTTAGTTTTTTGACTTCTGAAAGTGTTTGACAAATATAAAAAATATATTTTAAAATAAATAAAAATTAATTTTTTTTTAATTATGAAGTGTTGACATAGGTAAATAACCACTTTCAAAAAGTCATAAAACAAAAATAAGTTTCTCCCACCTTTTACTTTTTAACTTAAAAATCATTTCAGTTTGATTTTTTAATTTTGATTTAAAAGATATTTTTTAAAATTAATCCTAACATGACTTTAATAACTATCAATCAAATTAGTAACATTATAATTGTTTATTATTAGATTCACACAAAGGCAATAAACAAGTATTTATTACACTTGGCTTGTTAATCAAGTTGTAATACACAAGGCAATAACTCAATATCAATTTATATCTAATTTATAGTTATTCATTAATTGTAACTATACAATTTCTCCAAACTATCACTAAACATTATATATTGTAACCTTCCCTTTAATTTTAAAAAAATAACAATTTCTTTATTTTTATTAATTTAACTAGGTGTTAAATTTCAAATTATTTTATTATATATTTGAAAAGACAAAAAACTACCTAACAACTTTTCTTCATTGGAAATCCACCCCTAGATTTAGAAATACATTAACAACATTTCGACACACTCGAGGGTACCTTTCTAAAGCACATAGATTTGGAATATACAATTAGCTCACTTAATTATAATTAAAAAGAAAATAAACAACATTTTAGTCCCTCATTTCACTTTATTAGTTTCTTTTAGTTATTATTATGCGTATTCCTAATATTTAAGAGTCATTTATGGTTCTACCATTCAATGACTAATAAGTCATGTCTTACGTAGTGTTCTATTTATATTACGTAACGCAAGACGTTTACATTTTTTTGGTTCAAATTTATAAAAGGTTAATAATCTATTTATATATCCGTTGAAGAATATAATTATCGATTGAAGTCAAGTTAAAAAGACGTATATTTTGTGTCAGACTAACTAACTAAAGGACTAAAAATGCAATATAGATAATCAACATCATAAAACCAAATCAACGGTTGTAATTAACCCAATTTTTTCTACATATACGTGCTGCCACTTCTCATCCAATTTGTTCATTGAAAAAAAAAAACTATAAACTTTTTTCTCTTCACTCTTTTCTACTATTTCTCTGTTCATAGATCTAATGGCAACTATCAAATCCATTAAAGCTCGTCAGATCTTTGACAGCCGTGGTAACCCCACAGTCGAGGTTTGTTTTCATTCAGATCTCTCTTTTTTCAGATTTTTTTTGATGTTTTTTTATAGATTCTTTTCGATCTGTTTCAAGATTTGAACTTTTTGAGTTTTTTATGCTTACCCATTTGCTGATTTTGTTTAAATAATTTGTTGTTATAATGGGTTTTGTTTGGATTTCTGAATGGAGTTTGTTTGAGAGTGTTTGGTTTTGTTAGATTGGTTGTTGATGCAGATTAGTTGTGTTGTATTTGTTTCAAGATTCAAACTTTTTGAGTTTTTTTTAATGTTTATGTTTATCGATTTGCTGATTTTGCTTAGATTGTATGTTGCTGTTATGGGTTTTGTTTGGACTTTTAAATGGAGGTTGCAGAGTAGTTGTGTTGTATCTATTTGTTGCTGCTATAAGTTTTGTTTGGATTTTTGTAAAGATGTTTTTTTGAATAATTAGTTGGTTGTGTTGGATTGGTTATTGATGCTGATAAGTTTTGTTAAATCAGTTTGAACACGGAGGTGGATTCAAGATTTGATTTTTATGGGCTCAGACATGCTAGTTGTTGCAATAGTAGAGATGTTTTTCCTCAGGTGTATTGATTTGTTTGTTGTGTATCTATGCAGGTTGATGTACATATCTCAAATGGTGTGTTTGCCAGAGCTGCTGTTCCAAGTGGTGCATCCACCGGTAATGATCTAGCTTTGTTCTTGTATATAGTGACTTTTTCAAACACTGATTGATTAGACTGTGTTGAAAATTGTATGTGCAGATGCGTAATTAGTTCGTTATTTAACTTGTGTAATCGAACTCAGAGTTTCTTGTTTGTTTGCTTGGAAATTATAGAGACTTCCTTTCAAGTGTGTATTTATTAAACTTCACCCTTTTGATCAGTTTATGTTCAGCTATAGATACTTGTTCTTCACTAAAAAGAATACATTTTTAGTAACAGCATGTCACTATTCTAAAACAAAAATACTCCCTCTGGTTTTAATTTGTTTGTATGGTTTTGACTGACCATGGAGTTTGGAGAGTTTTGAACCTTGTGGTCTTAAACTAATGATTTGTAGAATGTACCAAAATCTCGTTTAATCTTGTGGTCTTAAACACGGTGTTGAAAGTTGAAATTAAAGAGTTAGCAAAAAAGGAAGAGATATTTTTTTTAAACGTACTAAAAAAAGAAAGCGAGACAAACAAACAAATTGAAATGCTTGTAGCTCATCTGATCCACGGATTTTGCATATATCAGTTTGGGTGGAAATGTGAATCTTTGCTACTTTCTGTTATTTTGAACGCTGTTAACGTTCTTGGCAAATGTGTCCTTTTGTTATTACCCTTTGAGTTGAAAGGTAATGCGTTATCTTTACTTGTTCAATAATAGGAATTTACGAAGCCCTTGAATTGAGGGATGGAGGATCTGACTACCTCGGAAAGGGTGTTTCGAAGGTTGGCGTTTCACTGCTAAGCTTTAGTTTGATGATTATACTGATCATTTTGATTAATATTTTTTAATGCTGTTCTTCCCGTGTAGGCTGTTAACAATGTCAACTCAATTATTGGCCCTGCTCTTGTTGGCAAGGTTTGTTGTATTTCTCCCGTTAATATCTTAATAGGCTATTTTTTTGTTAAGTTGCTATTATTGTTCATTTCTGACATACAAAGTATTACTATTTTCCAGGACCCAACTGATCAGACTGGTCTTGATAACTTCATGGTTCATCAGTTAGATGGAACTCAAAATGAGTGGGGTTGGTGCAAAGAAAAGGTGTTACTATTTATGCCAAGTATAAAGTTAATTATTCTATCAAGAGAAGTTCATCTTTCATGAATATAACTGTATTGGCTTTTCTTCAGCTTGGTGCAAATGCCATCCTTGCTGTGTCACTTGCTGTGTGTAAAGCTGGCGCTGCTGTCAGGAATGTGCCATTGTACAAGGTATACAGAGAATCACTTCTTGTTCGAGTGTCTGACTTCCCGAGTAGTTGTCTTTTGTATATTAGGCAGAAAATGTTTACGTTAATATTTTGTGCTTGTGAAGAATGATGTCTCACTTTTACTTTAGTTATTTCGTAGGATGATTTATCTTGATTGTTTAAACAGTAGTCAAGAGAGGGATTCATTGGTTTTCATGGAGTCCATGCACATTCTTTGGATTTATCTACACCCTAAGGCCTAAGCCTTGCATCGCTATTGAACTATTGCCAATTGGCAAGGCAGAAACCATATGAACCTTTAATCTTCCCCATGTTTACTGTTCCTATATGTGACTCACGTTCCTCCCACCCCAATGCAAAAAATAAAATAGGAGATAAAATAAATTCCACCATTTGATTCTCTATTACCTAAAGGCTACTAGGACAAATTAAGTTTCTAGTTGCAATTGGATTAATCTGCGATCATGTGGTTACTTGTATATATTGCCTCCTCTCTTTGCAGCACATTGCTGATTTGGCTGGTAACAAGAAGTTGGTATTACCAGTTCCTGCCTTCAATGTGATTAATGGTGGATCTCATGCCGGAAACAAACTCGCAATGCAGGTATGCCATTAGTTTGCGTCAACTATGCATCCGTGTGCTCTTTACTAGAACGATTCTCATTAGTAGTTATCTTGCAGGAATTTATGATCCTTCCTGTTGGAGCTGCTAATTTCAAGGAGGCCATGAAGATGGGCTGTGAAGTCTATCACCATTTGAAGGTTTGAGAGCTTTTATTACCTCTAAATATTGTTTTAGGTGGACCAATCTTATATATGCTTTTGAATTTAGGGGATCGATTGGTGTCTTTGGCTCCATTCAAGCTCACAATCTCATTTGACTTTGTTCATGTTATACTTTCTCCTCTTTATCTTGTTTTGTCTGATAATAGTTATGCTTTAATTGCAGGCTGTGATTAAGAAGAAATATGGTCAGGATGCCACAAATGTCGGTGATGAGGGTGGTTTTGCTCCTAATATCCAGGTGAAGTACATTCTTATGCTGTTGTATTACATCCTGTTGAATGTTACCCCAGTGCACTGACATGAATATGGTTTCGAAAATTCAGGAGAACAAGGAAGGTCTTGAATTGCTCAAGACAGCCATTGAGAAAGCAGGTTACACTGGAAAGGTGAGTATCTCAATTACATTTTGAGTCGCACAATTCTTTGTTTTCATAGCTGTTGTTAGATGATCTGGTGGCTGAGATGATTTTCTTTTTAGGTGGTCATTGGAATGGATGTTGCAGCATCTGAATTTTACGGAAAGGACAAATCTTATGACCTGAACTTCAAAGAAGAGGCAAGTACTAACTATTGCTTCTTTCACACATGCTTTTTTCGAGGTAGTCTTGTAGTCAAACTGTTCATACGTTGTTCAGTTTTGCTCATATCAATTCTTCTTTGCAGAGCAATGACGGCTCACAAAAGATATCAGGTGACCAACTCAAGGACTTATACAAGTCATTTGTGTCCGAGTACCCTATTGTTTCAATTGAAGATCCATTTGACCAAGATGACTGGGAGACCTATGCTAAGCTCACTGCTGAGATTGGGGAGCAAGTACAGATTGTCGGTGATGACCTTCTTGTCACCAACCCTAAGGTAAGGTTGAAGCTTGAACTATATTAAGTGGTTGCATATCACAGTTTTTGTTGCCATTGAAAAGAAAAGACAGACCGTCAATCAATTTCTCTAGGTGTTATTGTTTACCATGTTTACTTATTTATAATGGCTTGCAGAGGGTCGCCAAGGCAATTGCAGAGAAGACTTGCAATGCTCTTCTTCTCAAGGTATAGGTCATATATATCCCCGTCATGATAATCAAAGTTTCCTCTTTGAGATTGTATTAAAACATTTCTCTCTCGCTGTGTGTCAGGTTAACCAAATCGGTAGTGTGACCGAGAGTATTGAAGCTGTGAAGATGTCCAAGAAGGCAGGTTGGGGTGTAATGACCAGTCACCGCAGGTAAAGAACCAACGATCCTCATCCTCCACGATATCACTTCACAGAAAGTATAATAAATTTCGAGTAGTCATGTTCTAATTATCTCATAAAACTAATTGTTGCAGTGGAGAAACAGAAGATACCTTCATTGCTGATCTTGCTGTCGGTTTGTCAACGGTAAGCTTTATAGAATCCAGATTATGATACTCAACAGATTGTAGGTGTTAACTTAACGAGTATTCTCCCGAATATAATCAGGGACAAATCAAGACTGGAGCTCCTTGCAGGTCAGAGCGTCTCGCCAAGTACAACCAGGTAATTTATCGTTCAAAAATCCAGCCGTTGAACTCTTTCAAGTACACTTGCATTCCCAGCAAGCTTTTCTGATATTTCGTTCATCCTATTTAGCTGTTGAGGATCGAAGAGGAACTCGGATCAGAGGCTGTTTATGCAGGAGCAAGCTTCCGCAAGCCCGTTGAGCCCTACTAAATTTCAGCAGTTCCAAGTGTTGAGATTGTTGAGTTGTTGATCTGCCAAAAATAAATTCCTCTTAGATTGGTCATTTTAGGATTATATTATATGACCTTGGTGAAATAACAAGCAGACTCAAAAACAAGTTTTGTTTTCTGAGGTTTTATTAGTATTTTGAATTCTGAAAAGAAAAAAAAAGAGTTTTTTTTAGGCTTGGTTACTGTAAAACTTTGATATGCAAGTTTCTACTATGTTCTAATTAATATTTTGATGGTTTTGGTTTTTTCAAATCTCAATCTTTACTTTGCTATATAACATAAGATGTGCTCTTTTTGGAGAAAACTATTATTTATTAGAAAGGACTTGAATAAAAATAACTATAGTTAATATTACAATGGAAAAAGGGCTTAAAACACTTTAAAGTATTGAAAATGGTACAAAATTATCTTACTCCCTTGTCATACTCCTATCCGCTCTCAAATATCTCTTTGCGTCCAATATTGGTCACTTTTATAACAGATTATCATTTAAATACACGCTTCGATCCAAATAAATTAATTTCACCCGTCCCAAGTAACAATTTTCTAACATTTCACTTAATCTTGCAGCTTTCTTCTCCAATATATTCGCTTACGATCTCTAAAAACACTACCTAAGTACGCACATGTATTATCATAAAAAATCATGCATGTTTTGGTAAATTTCTTATGGTATATTTAGGTAGTAATTTTTTGTTGGGGAAGTAAAGTTGGAAGAGGAAGTAAAATATTGGGAATGAAGGGTGCATTTGTTTTAATCGATGGGGGTAAATGTAATTTTGGGAGGGTGTGGTTAATTTGAGTTGGGTATAGTTAACTCCTATAAAAGTGGTCAGTATTGAATTCAAATATGGATAAAAAGATACTGAGAGCCAATAGGTGGATGAAGGATAATTTCGTATCAATTCAAATAATTTAAGAATATTTTAGATCCTTTTCCGATAATACAATTAACTAAAGTAGAGGAAATAATGTAAAACTTCTATACAATTTTGTGAGCTATCAACCACAAAGAATAGTAGAACCAACTATAAATGATATACATAAAAGTTTATTAGAAAGTAAAATAAAAACCAAACGTACAACTAGCATCAAATCTCTTTCTATCTATCTGAAAAGAATATATCACTCGATCGCTTTCGATATCATTGACGGTTATCATGGAATAGATAAAATCTCATGTTCAAATTCTAAAAATGTAAAAAGAGTTTCGATAGAGAATGCTTTCCCATTTAATCGGCGTTACATGGAGCGAAATCGAATGAAATATGAATAAAGAGGAAATTTTTAAAAAAAAATTAACATTAAAAAAAAAAATTTTAAAAAAATTGCTGGCTATGGGGTTCGAACCCATGCGCACTTATGTGCAGAAGATCTTAAGTCTTCCCCCTTAACCTCTCGGGCAAACCAGCTCAATGTTTAATTAAGTCAAAAATAATATATATAATATTTTGGTTTATGAATGTGGTATAAATTGATGTACTAAATAAATTATTACTTTTAAATCCAGACTTGAAATAGATCACGATTTTATTTTATACTACTCTTAGAGAATACGAGTATATAGAAGAAAGAACAGAAAAATAAAAAATCATAGAGCATAAAAGTTATTGTAAGAATATGGGAATATAGTCGAGGTCAACTCTATGCTTATAAAAAAAATAAGGCATATGTTTTAGGCTTCTATTTTGGAAAAAGAGTTTTTAATTTTTATCATGATCAAATTATGTGTTAATATTATTTATGTACTTATTATGATGAAACATACCTACTAATACTAATTATTTTCATATATTTTTAAATATAATAAATTGAATTATATATACACAAATATTTATAATAATTATTTACTTTTTTTTATAAGAAAAAATACCCTAAACCCATTGAGAAGAAATTTGGAAAGTTGATTAGCCGACTTAAATCTACTTCAATTAGGATTTAAAAAAATTGTTATTGCTATATATTTATATGTTTGTTTCCTTATTTAAATCCTACTTTAATTAATCCTACTTTTATTAGGATCCGAATTTTACGAAAATAAAAACTATATATAACTTACATTTTTCTCAAAAGTTACTAAAATACTCACAAGTCTTTTTCCGCTATTATTTTTTTACTAAAAGTTTTTAGGTTAATTCATCAATGGAGGTTTTTGATATTTGCAGAAGGATGAAGGAGATGTTGATGAATAATAGTAATAAGAAGAAGAAAGTTATAAGTGCTAAGAAGTTGCAAAAAAAATGCAAGAACGCATTTTTTATCGTGTATGTGAGCGAAAACAAAGTGAAATATGAAGTTTCAAGAAAATATTTGTCTTCTACTTTTTTCAAGCGATTTATCAATGATTTTCAAGAAGATATTGAAGTTCAAGACATGAAGAAATTAGAATTTTCGGTGAAGAGTTGCTCAATCTTTGAGTTTGAATATGTTGTACAATTTAGCAAGATTCAACTCAACCCTTGGTGAAGGGTTGCATATTGTAATTGTATTATTAAAATTTTATTCTTCAAATACATTCCAAATTAATAATTGTTACATCTTCAATAAAAAAAATTACCATTTTAAAATTTGATTTTAAGTTACTATATTTGATCGAACTCGTAATTAACAAGGAGAGAACACGACAAGAATATAAAGAATATACTAGTATTATATTCAATATTCTAGATCATCAAAAATTGATTGTTAGATCAGAAAAATGAACAAATTATTGATTGTATTGTTTCTTTTTTTGTATTGAATATTATTTGATTTGATGTTATACTATTTGTTTTCAGTTTGAAAAATATATAACTCAAATTCAGATTAAAATAAATTTAATTTGATTTTTCTTATTCTGATTTGACTTTTTTTAGTTGGATTATTCAATCATATATATTAATAATATAATAACGCACTTAAAGCTATATTCGCAAGTTGAAAAAATACGTATAGATAGAGAAGCAGTAATATCAAATCTCTTAAATACACTTTCAAATATACAAGTAAAACCTAAAAGACAATAATTAAAAATATAGCAATATAAACTAATTCAGGATAAATAGGCAATAAATTAAAAAAGAATATTTAGCTTCTTCAGTATTCATGCGATTCATCGATGAATTTCAAGAAGATAATAAAATTCGAGAAATAAGATCATGATTCAAAGTAGTAAATACTTAATGATAGATTGAGATTGTAATGTTAACATTAGTTTTTTTTTTCCCAAATAACAAGATACCAACAGGCAATAACATTCTCTGATTCAATCCAAAACTCTCATTGAAAACATAACAAGTCTTAAACATCAAAACAGATGATTGACCTAGAGATAGATCATAATAGATGTAACTCATCTTTCCTTTACATCAGATGAACCAAATCGAAACGGGGAAAAAAACGACTAAAAAAGCTCTCTTCTGATCATAGGTAACAACCAAACAAAGACTAAATGTCTCCATGTCTATTTACTTTCCAGCACTGTGTTTAGCTTTCGAGTGAGATTCGAGAGCACCTTCAGAACCAAAACTCCTGCAAGGAACCAATACATGAATACACCAAACATCCAAATGCGTCTACTTGAACAAATTGAATTTGTTGAGATATTAATATATGTACCTGTTGCACGGCTTGCAGTGATGAGATCCAGCTGATTTTGGAGTCTTACTAGCCTGCTTAGAAGGGTGCGGTGTTGCTACATGGACACCACCTTTTTTGCCATCTAAATCAACCACAAAAGTAGAAAAAGATACTGAATAAATTGAGCCATTTGACCACCAGTACCAGCAAATTAATTTTATCAGTTACATCTTTCAGAAAAAAAAAACTCAGCAATTTTAGTTTTCCTGGTACAATAACTATAAAAGGACAGCCCGGTGCACTAAACTGCCACACTATGCGCAGGGGAAGGGGAAGGGCCGACCACAAGGGTCTATTAGTCAAAACCTTCTTAGTTTCTTGGAATAATATGGACCAGAAGAAGTAAAAATAAAAAATTAGAGTGACAAGACAAACCAGTTTTTTGAGGTGTTGTCAATTTTGCCTTTTTATCAGTGACAGGTGTTTTTGTAGCTGAATCTGCCTTCCTCTTTTTTGCAGGCTCAGCCTAAAATAGAGATGAAACCACATAATAACAATAAATCATACAACAAAATACTCAGCAAAACAATAAATTATCCACCCCAGAAATATCACTACCTTCTTTGGTGTCTCCTCCTCACTCTCATCAGAGTCGTCTTCATCCTGAATATACAAATATAATTTATACAGTAAATACATCAGAAGTATAACTCAATAAATTACACAGAGAAAAGCATAGCCACAAATTAGATAAAAGCAACTGCATAGCATATCAGTTTTGTAATGCATCATTAAGTAGAGTATGCTTCTGAGCTAAAAGAGATGAAAACTGTTCAGTCATTCAATATAATTCAAAACCACAAAAACACTTTTAAACAGCCCCAAATACCACAACACAGCCTCCAGCCCAATCTAGCAGAGGCACTAGCATTAAGCTGGAATCAGATGTGTATTTCTAAAAGATGTCAATAGGTCCAAGTTGAAAATGACTAAACTGCTCTACTGTCAATTGAAACAATATGATACCTCAGAGAAGTATGAATGAAATATAAGAATTGAAGAAGGCTAAGAATGAAGTAAAATTATTGAAGCTCTGTTTTTGGTGAAGAAAACCAAGCAGCCAACATCTCTTAGCCATTCCAAGTAGCCGCCATTTTCTTCCCCAAAAAAATGCTTATGATATCAATCTCAATGTTTTACTTCCCTCGGTTTCAATTAGTTTGTCTAATTATGACTTGGCACAAAGTTTAGGAAAGTAAAGGAGACTTATCAATCTAGTGCTCTAAAACTAAAGATATATATAATGTACCCAAATGACTTTCGATCTTAAGGTCTTAAAAATGTCAGGTGGAAAGTTGATATTAAAAGGTCGTCGAAAAAAGAAAAAGACCTTTTAAAAGAACCAGAAAGGAAAGTAAGACAAACAATTAAAACCAAGGGAGTTATTAAAGGCCTCGTGAAAGTTGATAGATGGAGTCCACCAACCATGCGCAATTCAAAAAGAACAACCTGAATATCTTTCAGCCTCCATGAAGAATGACCTCCTACCACAAGTGGATAGTCATAGATTTATTTTTGGAGGTACCCCACCTCTTGTATAGGATGGACCTCATACACATTACTTTGTCTAGTAGGTGTTCTTGCCAAAGCATGTTTTTACCGCATCTCCTTACATAGTCATAGATTTATTTTTGGGAGGTACCCCACCTCTTGTATAGGATGGACCTCATACACATTACTTTGTCTAGTAGGTGTTCTTGCCAAAGCACGTTTTTACCGCATCTCCTTACATATTAGTGAGTGATAAGCTTTCCTTCCACTACTTTTTTGTTTAAGAGAAGAGATTACATAGTACAACTCTCTCGAAGTCCTTGCAATGGCATGTTGAAGATAAATATAATGTACATTTGATTTTTAAAAAATGTTGTCCGGACACCACAATTTAGTAGGGCATTTTAACATTTCAGTTAAATAATCAAACAAGCTTAAACAAGTGGCACCCATTTTTTGTCCTTGTATTGGTTTCCCTAACTAATACTACAAAAGACCATGACAATAATTTAAACACCATGAAGATATAAAAAAAATTGTACCTCTCCCAAGTCAGAACCATCATCATCAGAGCTCTCATCTTCATCATCTTTAGTAGGCTCCACAATCCTCACCTTCTGCTTTCCTGAAGCAGAATCCTTTCCAGCGTTAGACTTCCCAGCCTCTTTAGGGTCAGGTTTACCTGAAGTCAGTTAACAAAGTAGACAATAACATTAGCCAATTAAGATGTATAACCATCTATTAAATTGACATAATATCTTGGTAAAAAAAAAAAGCATTTTCCATACCACTGTTGGCAAGAGTGAGGGGGATATCCTCATCAGAATCTGAAAACACAAGAACACCAGACGATCAATAACTAATCACAGAACAGTATGGATGTCCAAACAAAAGAAAATGTGCATTTACCATCATAATCATCTTCGTCATCCTCTTCCGTGAACCACAGAAGTTTGGTCAATGAAACAAATACACAAAATTTTACATCGAACGAAAAATAAATGCCTATAAGAAATAAAAGTTAACAGACAAATAAAAAAGGATATTCATCAAACGGGTTAGTTGCCTTGTATCCAAAAAAGTAGACACTGCCACTTTTCAAGTTGTGAGATAATTCAAAGTCTTTATCAAAAACCAGGTCAAATTGCTGTTGAGGCACCTTCTCTGAGTTGAGTGTCCCAAGAACAAGTTTCTTGCCATCAATATTCACTGACAAGCAGGCACTTTCTGATTTATCCTTCTTCAACTCACCTAGAGATGCCTGCAGATAACAACATAGTAATGAGAATTAGCTAATGACAACTACGAATAACTAAGCTTATCAAGTTGTAGCAAATTATAAAACCTGTGAAAGATGCAAAACCATCCCATCTCCAGGCTGTACAGTTAATGGCTCTCCACTTTTCACCTCAGCACCTATGCACAAATAAATATTCAATTCAGAAAATGAGAGTTCAGGAATAGCAATACAAGTAACATATTAAGCATGTTCAATAAAAGTGCACCAGAAACAGAACACAAATAAGAGAAAATTTGAACTTTGAATGAAGGACGCATAAACCCAAACAGATATGTTGTGAAAAGAAACTTCATCCTTTTTATGGTAAACCTCACCACAACGTCCACCCCTGCCTTCTCAAAAGTCAAAAAAAACTACAAAGAGACAAACAACTTTTTCCCACTTTGCCCTTCTTGACTCAAAACCCCCAACCAAGGCCCCTAACCTTAGGCTATACCTCATCATTTCTTCCCCGAAAACAAACATAACCTGCTAAAACAATCTATGTTCAAGTATGAAAGATACTAACTTGAGGCTTATAATTAAAATCTAATAACTTTTGAGATAATACAATAAAATATTTCCACTCTAGGGAAAAATACACTGTAGCCAGCTAAAATAATCTAAAACCTCAACCATTTCTGCTAATAAGATCTCACACAAAACATTTTTATGATAATGTAATAAATTTGATTGATGCTTGGGCAAAACACATTAAAAAAATCACATAAAACATTAACAGAAAAACATACATACATATATACATTAAAGAGCAATTGGTATCAAAACAATCAAATATAGAATACTCAAAATGCTAGCCTCAACATTTCTAGTACACAAATCAGACACAACATTATTATTTCATGATAAAGTAATAAGATTTTACTGATATGTGAGCAAAAACAAAGACACGCATACAAACCAAAACGCAAAAAAAAAAACACACAAAATCAACATCAAAACAAACATAAACACATGGTAGAGCAATAGAAATTGAAGGACACAGTAGCTGTCCAACGCAGGAAAACTCTTTTAATCAAGCAAGCCAATCAAAATTAGAAAATACAAATTGCATATATCTGCACCAACCTCAACATTTCTAGTACCAAAATCACACACAATAATAAGATTTCACTGATGTTTGAGCAAAAACAAACGCATGCATACAAATCAAAATGTAAAAAAAAAAACATAAAACATAAACAGCAAAACGAACACAAATACATGAAACAGCAATTGAAATTGAAACAATCAAATACAAACATATCAAATTGAATTAGTGTATGTAAAGAGATTTACCCCAAAACTCCATAGCTGCTTTTAGGGTTTTAGAGAGAAATTAGGGTTTTAGAGGAGAAATGGAGGAAGAAAGAGACTGCTAGGGTGTACTATGTGTTTGCTTGTTTATAAGCGGGAGAAATAGAGTTTGGGTTTTGATATTATACTTCGCGGACTACCGTATCATTCTAGAACCAACTTATTTTTAATTAATTAGTAATAGAAAAAAATATCTTTAAGGTTTAGCTAATGACCAAATATTATCTAAGTCGTTTGGCGAGGTTTAAAAAAATAATGTTAAATAACGTGTATTCATAATGTCTGCAGTCCTTTAGGATGACTTGGTTGGTTAGAGGTCGGGATTGATCCTCCCTCAATATCTTCTGAGTTGAGTTTGTGCAGTTATAGGTTATTTTGGGGTGATTCTTAAAAAAATATATTTGCATTAGTAATGCTTATATTTGTATACACGTAATATTATTTATGCATTGTTTGATTTCATGTGTTAAATAAAGTATACATTATGGAAATAATTATTTACAAAAGCATCCTCTATAATTATGGTGAAAATGATATGAAGGGTTTTTGAGAGATAAATAGATAGTAAATCTTGCTAATGCATGTACCAAAGTTAAAGTATTTTTCAGACCATTTTCTCAATTTTTTTAGGCAATCTACCCTAAACCCCTAGTTCATGACTAAATAAAGGGATAATATATTCCATTGAAAAGACATCTTGAATACCTCAAATATTCCACAAACTCATGAAATACTTATAAAGAGGTCCAAATCATTTTAATTCGAGAAATACACCACTAACGACCCTCATATTGTAAATATTAAGTTCAAATCATCATATTTAGAGAAATACGCCATTAACGATCATCAAATTATGTAAATCAAGTTTAAATCTAACCACCCTCAAATATGTAGATCAAATTCAAATATCCTAACTTGAGAAATATGTCACTAATGACCCTCAAATTATGTTACATAAATTCCAAATCATCATATATCGAGAAATACACCACAAACGATCCTCAAATTATGGATAAATACCTTATGCGAGAAAAATTAAGAAATTAATAGAATTGTACCCGCAATCTTGGTGAATAAATTATGTTTCTTCATTTTTTTTGTGATTGTCATGGATTTTCCGTCACTTTAAAATTTATTGCAAATAACATGTACTTATCCCTTTCCTTAGATTAGATAAAGACACATACTTCTCTCTTTTTCTCTTACAATAGATTATGAGTTCTACTTAAATATGGACACATTAGGGACTACAAAATTAATTACTAAAACTTCATATTATGCAAATAATTCTAAATAATTAATTTGAATTATTCTTACTATAATAAAATACAAATTATTCCACTAAAAAATTGTAATTGCACTCCTCTATTTATATTTCAAAAATTGCATTAAACACCTATGTAATTCACCAAGTTAAGATTACAAATACTAATCAATAAATTATATTACTAACAAGCTTAATTCACAAATCAATTTCGTTTAGATCACTGCTTAACTTATTTCATGTGTCGAATTCACAATTCACTTGTAAGGTTTGACACGATAAAAACTTATAAGCTTCTCGAGACATTAATCCTGTCAAATAACTTATTATTTTACCAATATATATTATCAACATTCAACCTACATACATATTGAACCGTCTTAGATTCTTACCTTTTAATAAATCAAAACGATAATTAACATATATAAATCATAATAGTTATATCAGGTTTGAGAATATCAGTACATTTAATAGTTTAGAAAATATGTTTTTGTCAGTCAGTCTAAAACAAATATCTTTATTTGATTTTGTTCAATATATACAAAATGCAGTAGCACAAGAATTTGGAACCATATCACTCCCATAATCAAGATAAGCTACATATAATCTTGTGGTACAATTTTATCGGTTACATGTCCAATTTCCATCTTAGATTGTAAACAAAAGCTTTATATTTATGAGAACCGATGATTTAATAGTGTATAAACTTAAATTCTATACACTAAATCATCTACTATATAAATAAATAGACACCATAAACGAATATACGATCTATTAAAAATTAACAAATAATAATTCTATAAAACAAATACAATATCTAAACGCACATGATTAATAATATATATCCCAATAAATCACATTATAGGGTGCGTAACGGGTCCTCTAGGGTTGGCATATTTAGAGAATGGCCAATAGGTATAGATTGATGAAAAAAATTAGTATTTGATAATGAAAAATCCAAAATTCATTTTGAAATTATATTACAAATTTATAAACAATTTACTATAATATATTTTTCAATTTTAAAGTAACATTTAAGTACCTTCAAACATGAACATAATTTCAAAATATTAAAAATAATAGTGAAATGTGAATGGTGATATGTACAAAATTTTATCATGCTCTATAAAGATAGACCTAGTATTATTACTAGGGATAATTGCATATAATAACAAATTAATAACCTAAATATGATTTGATTTAATTGTACTCCAGAGCAAACGTTTGTCAAAGTTTGTCAGTCGCCTCTCTCCCAAAAATCTTGCTCGCCACTCTCTCGTTCTCGCTCGCTACTCTCCCTCTGCTCGGCTCTCTCACTTTATACATAGAAATGTATAAATTGTGTTTTTGTTTTGTATAAAGCGAGAGAAAATTGTATGTACACATGCAAAAACATATATTTTCGTGCTATACACTTAATTATATAATTTACGAACATTTTACTTCGATTCAAAAGTAGACAAATGCAAATTTTATATAAATGTTGCAGCGAAAAATACCAACGAATTATACAATTGTGAATTATACAATTGCAGTGAAATATAATTTCTCTCGCTTTATACAACAGAAGTGTATAAGTTATGTTTTCATTTTTGTATAAAGCGAGAGAAAAAAATATATCTTTCTCTGATACACTTATAATTATACAATATACAAATATTTTATTTCGATTCAATTGTATGCAATTTTTTTTTATACAAATATTACAGTGAAATAGGCAGCATATTATACAATTACGCATTATATAATTGTAGTGAAATAGGCTAGCGAATTATACAATTACTGTGAAATAGGCCAGCGAATCATACAATTGTATATGTATAGCGAGACTAACGAATTATACAATTTAGGCATACAATTATATATGTATAGCGAATTATACAGTTATATGTTTGCTACGAAGCACAATTATATAAACTTTGCTATAACATACAAATATAAATTTTTTGTTTTGTATATGTGAAAATTCCCTATTTCAAATCATTGTTTCGTATGGCAGCCCCAATATTTTGATTATAATTTTGGGTCACGTTTTAAATTAGCGCCCCTCCAAATGCTCTGCATATTAGGCGGACATCTCCACCTTTAAACATATACTGATACTGAACTTGAACCTTCAATATCTGCTAATGGATCTCAATAATCTCTTCATTTCTCTCACTCCATCATGGACTTCGGTCAGTATTTTTTCTTCTCTATTTGACTGTACATGTATCTATACAATCTGTGTGATTTTTTTTTTTTGCTGATTTTGTTCTTGTTTTGGTGAATATAGGTGTCTATGTTGATCGGATTTTTTCTCTATTTAGCTACCGTTGGATCTATTCTACCCGGAAAACTTGTTCCTGGGGCGACTTTATCTGATGGAACTCGACTCCATTATCGTTGCAATGGTAATGTGAATTGGTGTGTATTTTGATGAGTGGAGTCAGGATTTGAAGTTTATGGGTTTTGAGCTTGTTATCGAAAGCATTTAGTTAATGGGGGTTCGAATAATTTAAGCAAAAACTATTGAGTTCGTCTGGACTCTTGGTTAATGTTGTAGTTTTGTCTAGGGGATTTGAAGTTTATGGATTGTGAACTTTTTGTGGAACCCGTTCAGCTAAGCTATTGAGTTTGTTTGGACTCCTAGGGAATATTGTAGTTTTTCCTGGTGGGATTTGAGGTATATGGATTCTGAACTTGTTATCGAACCTGCTTAGTTAGTGGGTTGTTACTTGAATATTTATGCTTATCTAATGGATTTCCTAATACAATTATAAGGTTTAAGCAAAAGTTATTGGGTTTGTTTTAACTCCTATTTAATAGTGTAGTTTTGCTTGGACCCTTCGGGGTGGCTCAGTGGTTTGAGCTTGGGACTTCCATGTTGGACGTCTCAAGTTCGAAATCCTTTGCCAGCGAAAGCAAGGGGTTTGCCTTCTGGATCGAGAAAGCCTGGTGCGGGTTACGTCTCCTATGTGTTTTGCGAGCTATTGCATAGGAGCGGGGGTTTTACCTGTGCGCACCCTTTAAGGGTAGGTTTCCCTTGTCATAAAAAAAATGTAGTTTTGCTTGGTAGGACTTTGAAGTTGATGGATTCTGAACTTCTTGATGAATATATAGCTCGTTTTTGGTAATGTCTTTGCGATTAATATATAAATGCTTATTTAATAGAGTCTGTGCAAAAACTATTGGGTTGGTTCAAACCCGTACTTAATACTGTAGCTCTGCCCTTGTATATTTTCATGTTTCTCCATGCGGGTTGAGCTTAGATTATTTGTTGTTGCTATTTCAGGTTTATTATCACTTCTGTTGTTGGTTTTGCTTCTTGGAGTTGGGTCGCAGATGAATCTTGTTTCACCTACTGTGAGTGTGGAATATTTCTTTTGTAGCAAAGGATGTACTTTGGGTTCATTTGCATTCCCTGTTTATTAAGTTTGTTTGCACAAGTATTGCTTGTAAAACCTTCTTATGCGGATGAGCGAGGAACAATTTCTTGCTACACTTCGTGTAGAAGTGATGAGAGTGAGGATTTGTACTCATTGTTCCCAAGAGTCTCGTCTCCGGTGGAACAAATATTCTGTTGTTACTTTCTTTTCCTTGCATGGATGGTGAGATTGAGAAGCTGCATAATTTCACGTGAATTTATTCTTCCTTTTCATATCATTAAATTTAGGAACCAGGTTGTCATTTCAGTGAAAAAGAAATAATTGTGATATTATATGGCTTTCTCATTTCATACCAAAACCTTCAACAGAATTGGTGGTATGATGTCCAACTGCTGTAGTACCTTTCTGTTGTTTTTCCTCCTGCTTTTTTGATGACAATGTACTGTTAGCTTTTGTTCTTTTGTTATCTTTCTATTGTTGTCAATCTGATTTATCTTCATCGT